AATGTAAGGAGAGTGGTCACTTTGGATAAGCTATTACCAGCAGGAGTGTGAGTTTGTTGTGGGGGGGGGGGGTGAGAAAACCTGGATTTGTGCTAGAAATGGCCCAACTTGATTATCATACACATTGTAAGGAGAGTGGTCACTTTAGATAAGCTATTACCAGCAGGAGAGTGGGGTGGGAGGAGGTATTTTTTCATGCTTTGTATGTATATAATAAGATCTTCTACACTTTCCAAAGCATGCATCCGATGAAGTGAGCTGTAGCTCACGAAAGCTTATGCTCAAATAAATTGGTTAGTCTCTAAGGTGCTACAAGAAATACAGATTCTCTGGAGACAAAGAGAATCCACAATCCCTTGAGTGAAATGATGGCTGCTAATAGCTAGCCCATTTCAATTGAGGAGTGTGCTTTGATCAGCTGATCAAACTGCAGGAGCCTTGTTACCAGCTCCTATCCTACACAGTGATCCTGGGTTGGAATGAAGGAGGCCATCTGAAAGTACTAATATTGGTGGGTGGGGAGGAAGGTGGGATTTAAAGCAGTTTTTTTTAAATAAGTCCAAGCTAATGTGCTTTATGTAGCAATATATTTTTCATACACCAGTTTACTAACACCACAAAAAGGTAGAATCTGCCTCCTGCACTTTGTACTCATATTGTGCTTTCCTTGCTGAGATGGATGTGGGCATGCAGGAAGTCCCTTATCCACGCCACACATTTGTTCAAGAGCAGGACATAGCAGCAGCCCAAACACTTAGGGCAGGTCTACACTACCGCCTAAGTCAATATAACTTACATTGCTCAGGAGTGTAAAAAAGCCCCTCCCCCACCCCAAGGGACACAAGTTTTGTGCAGACTATACCGGCGCTATGTTGGCGGGAGACACATAGCTTCCACTTCTCACCAAGGGGGAGCTGTTATGCTGACGGGAGAACAATCTCCCACCAACATAGCATGTCTTTACCAGACGTGCTACAGCGGTGCAGTTGCACCGATGTAGCGCTGTAGTGTAGACTTGCCCTCAGAGGAGCACAAGGACTGCTTGCTCTTGCTTGCCCCAGGATCATACAAGAGGTGGGGCCATGGCCCTAATACGCCCTGTGAATCAGCCCATAAAGCTAACATACCAGAGGGATCATTCTGTGCCAGCCTAATACTAGTGCAAACAACACACCTCCCTGTATCTGGAGAGACTGAGTGAGAGTTAATCTCCCTGGTGCTCCATCTGCGGTGGCAGCTCTGTACCATCTCTTACCTGGGAGCTTAAATTCATAAATTTGCTAGACACTAAAAATCATGGTCTTAATAAAGACACTGATTTATGGCTTATTACAGCCATCTGTAACCCATTAACAAACCCCCCCCCCATTTCATCGTATGACTGCAGGGCTGTTAATGGCCCACTTCACCTTGAACTGTCCCTTAGAATACGTGGTAACTACTCATGCTGTCCTATCTGTTTGATCATGTATTTAGCTGTGGCTCTCTGAGAACTTTCCCAGACCTGAAGAAGAGCTCTGTGTAGCTTGAAAGCTTGTCTCTCTCCTCAACAGAAGTTGGTCCAATAAAACATATTACTTCACCCACCTTGTCTCTAATATTCTGGGACTGACATGGCTACAACAACACTGCATACAACAATGTCCACATGAAGTTCAGTTCTACTCTGAAAAGTGACAATGGTAAAAATAGCAACTTCTTGCTCCCATTGTGTGTTCAGAGTCAAAAAAAATTTTTGTTTCCTTTTTAAAAAATGTGTGTCAGAGCTCATCTAGCTAGAGGAGTGAGCGCTAGATTCCTTCCTTTTCATTAGAGCTGGTTGCAAATTCACAAAATTTGCAATTTTGACAACAGTTTGTCAGAATTTTTTTAAAAACAAAAATGGGCTGAAATTTCTGACTAGAATTTAATTCTGCTTTTGGAGGTATATGAAAAATTTCAAATCTTCACAGAAATTTTGATTTTCAACAGTAACAAAAAAGAAATGAATTTTTTTTTCAAACCAGCTCTATTGTTAACTAAGTTCCAAAAGCAGATTCTTCACCATCTGAAGAAGAGATGCCAGAGTATAAGATGATTTAGTAGTTTCCAATAGACAAAAAATGATTTAAATATTCTAAAACTGCTGCAACAAGCTGAATCTTGGTTGTCATCTTGGGTTCTCTCTGTGATAGGCGATCCAGTTTGGTAATGTTTTTAGAAGCTTGAATTGCTCAGATTTCTTTTTAAATCTGGTACAATACAATGGCAAAACTGCTCATTGAAATTCAAGTTTTTGCTCCAATAAGAGTCTGTTACTGATTCACTGATCATTGTCTCTGCTTCACGTAAGCATTTATCTGTGAGTGTTTCAGGTCATTATTGTAGGAAAGTGGACATTCTGTTAGGATTTCAGTGTGCTAGGTTCTCCTAAACTAGTGGTTCCCAAACTTGTTCCGCCACTTGTGCAGGGAAAGCTCCTGGCGGGCTGGGCCAGTTTGTTTACCTGCCACGTCTGCAGGTTCAGCCGATTGCAGCTCCCACTGGCCACGGTGCTCACTGGAAGCAGTACATCCCTCGGCCCGCGCCACTTCCAATAGCTCCCATTGGCCTGGAGCAGCGAACCACGGCTAGTGGGAGCCGCAATCAGCCGAACCTGTGGACGTGGTAGGTAAACAAACCAGCCCGACCCACCAGGGGCTTTCCCTGCACAAGCGGCAGAACAAGTTTGGGAACCACTGTCCTAAACAGATACTTGGTCATTATCAGACTTCAAAATGACAAAACTGTCTAGCCCTATCCTTCTTTATTACACTAGATATTTTATTTTAACGAGTAGAATGACATTCTAGTCTCCTCCTCCCTCATTATGAGGCCTTATCATTAGCAGGGCTGTTCAATAATATTGAAGACTAAATACTTAATTGTTAATATTATAACTTGTTTCTGTCTGATAGATCTAGCCCTTTGTCTTCAGAGCCAAAAGTTTGTCTTCAATTGACTATTCGTTCATCTGTTAACTATAAATTCGGTAACAGAATTTGATCTTAAAAACACTTCTAAGTAATTTAAAAAAAACAGACACATGATACGGATAAGGATTTTCAAAGGGATAAGTGTTTTGCCTTGATGCTGGATATTATAGAAGTCACTAATCTACAATATTCTGAATATTTCTCTCTATTACTGGCACTGCTGCGTTGGTTCTAATTAGTGCTCTCTCTCATTCTTCCTTTTCACAACAATGCAAAAACCTGGCTCCACATTGCTACCTTATGAGTATGGCTTGGGTCATTAACCTTACTCACCTTCACTGACTTGGAGCGTGACCTTAACTCTGTCACACAGTGCGAAATATATTGTGTGACAGATACAGCAGAGCAACATTATTTAGTATCCTTCTGTTAAAGTCACAAATTCTAATTCTTTCTATTGCTAAGAAATGTTAGATTTGTGGGATTTTTGTTAGTAAAACTCTTGGGTTTTGAGATAAACATAGAAGCAAATTAGTTCACATACAATTTTTCAGATACTTGTTCTGAGTAGCAGCCAGCGCTGGATTAAGACATGGGGACTATAGTTCCCGTGCCTAGAGCCTTGGCTCCCAGAGCTATGTAATATCAGAATTTCAGCTTTCATTTTAAAAAAAATACATGTGGAGGGTTAGCTCTCAGATTTGTGAGCAGCATGTAAACATGACCCAAGGTAATTCATGCAGTGATGTCTGTAGACCCATCTTCCAGCAGACAGAGTTGCCTGGCTCCCAAACCACCGCCTCCTACTCTGGGTGCGGCCCCCACAACAGATGCTCAAGGGAAAAGGGGTCCTTACCACTACACCCACCACTGGCAAGGGAGACAGCACCACCAGTCCAGAGTAGAAAAGTGGTCCCCACCTCCTGTACACAGCCAAGAGATGGGCCCCAGACACTGAAGGAGGCGTCCCCGCTTCTAGCTCAGGTGTCATCTAGGTACCTGGGAGGAAGGGCATCACAGACACTACCTCATCTCCTAGCAGATGGGAGAGGCCCAGCTACTGATACCCCACACAGGGGTGAGGCCGTGGGCTTTGAAGGAATTCGGGGGACACACATCAGGGCAAAGTCCCAACCTGGGACACGCCTAGAGCCCCAGGATTATTTTAATTCTGCACTGTTAACTACCTGAGTCTGCATACATCTTGCACCAGAGAGAGTCACCAAACCCCAAACTGCCACTAGAACACACCAGGCCCTCACTGCTCTGACCAGGGCAAGTCTGCATAACAAACCATGCTGTGCTGGGGCCCGAGCTACAGCCCACTGTCAGTCAGTGGGAGTCTATTGAATTCAATTGGCTTTGGATCAGGCCTTAGCAATGAGGGGCTTAGCAGCAGCAGACCCAACAAACAATGTGACCAGAACAAGGAAACAGATTTTAGGAAGTTTTTTATTTTTAAGCTTGTACAGTATTTTTTATGCAAACAAACAGCACAAAGGAACAAGTGGATGGTTAGGTGGAGCATATGCATCCTTATGTGCCATAGGGATAAATGAACTGACTTGTTGATTGGTTCCTTTCAGTGTTTATTTTCAATGGTTTGACATTCACTCAAACTGCCTAACCTCTCCACTATCATTTCTTTATCTAAAGTGTCATCTGAGGGGGTTCACTAGAACTGAGATGTCTTAAAGCATTGCAGTGTGGAAAAGAAAGAGCAATTTCCTCCTCCACCGTCTCTTTGATAGAAGAAGTTCAATACCTCTATCTACACACATATGCTTCTCATACTTCATGAATACAATTCAAGCACAATAAGAGCTCCCTAAGGTAGGGCCCATTTAACAGCAAAATTAGAACAACAAAACACTGTAGAAGTATCTGGAGGATTTTCCTGTTCAAAAAATTTGATCATTGATTATTCCAACATTATTTAGGAAATAAGATATACAAAGAAGTGATTCAGACGACAATATCCCACATAGCACCACCTCCAGTCAAGTGTATTTTATATATATTTGTTTGTTTTTATTTTGTCTCTAGGAGAAGCACAAAAGAGAAAGAGATGGCCAAATTGACAGAGTCGATGAGTGAGTACAAATAGGAAGTTCAACTTTTTTCCTCCCTACTCGTTTTGTTTTTTCATACATTAGCACAAAAAAATAGGAAATACTTCCTGGAAACAAAGATTTCTTCCAAGCCCATTACTCACCCCCACCTCCATGCCTTGAATCATTCCTTTCTTAAACCCCACTTGAAGAAAAGACAAATTTCTCCTTCCTCACACCTATTCTTTTATTAAAGTAGATTTATTTGGGTCTTTGTGGATTTAGGTCCTTATCCAGCTAAGTACATGTTTGACTTCAATGGGATTACTCTTAGTTCTAAAGTTGATAGGACTACTAAAGTCAAGCACATGATTTAAGCACTATACTGGATCAGGGCCATAGTGTAAATTCTTACACTCAGCACAGTCCCACTGAATTCAATGGGACTGCACAGGATGCATATCTGCAGAATGTGCCCCATATGAATTATGCCCTCAGAGGTATGTGAGAGGCCTCTCAATGATTTCTTAGGGCTCTGGTATATGTACATTGTTTTGAATATGTAACCGCTAACTGTACATTTGGGGCTTGTTCTATAATTTGAGATATGGTTGATGAAGAATTGTCTATATTTCTTGTGAGCTTGGAAGAGTAAGACCCAAGTTCATAAGCTGACAAAGTTATTCAGTTATTCTCCCAACAGAACTGAGAGAAATTAAAGGAAGATCCTGGAAACTGACTATTTTTCCCCTGAAAGCTTGTCCAATGCATGGGTCTAGGAGAGCTTAAATAAGGTGAATTTTAAAAGGGAGAAAAGAAAATATTTTACTCTGTCTGGCTAATGCTAAGATACCATTTTATAAAAGGTGAAACTATTCTCTTAGGGTTTTTCTGCATTTGAAAGTTGATCCAGGTTACGATTTTCCAGGTTAAGTGATCTGAAACTACTGTTCTAAAAGAAGTGCTATGATGAAGTGGGAGTTTTTTTGTAATATTTTTATGACGCCTATGTGTGCCTCAGTTTTCTTCTATACCTTGCATGGCTACCCAGTGAGGGGAAAAAAGATTATGTTTGATCTAAGGGACTTAGGTAGCTAGGCAACACACTCCCCTGAGTGGACTGAATGGGTCATTAAAAAGAATGGTCAAAGGCTGATGTGTGTGCTCCGCCTCACCAGGACCACAGCTTCCTCCCTGCACCTTGTGCTTGCAGGAATCAGGTGTCACTGGCTCTGTGGCAGTACAGGGAGCCTTCTGGAGCCCTGCTGTCATGGGAGTGAGCAAGCAAGGCAGCACAGAGAGGTGTGGTCAGGACTGCAAGGAGGAGGTTGAGCCCTCAGCTGTGGGAGGAGGCCACCTCGCTGCTGAATGGCTCCTGCCTTCTTGATTACCCAAACTCCCAATTATATGAACAAAATACGTGTACTCCATGCTATTCAGATAATCAGGAGTATACTGTTACCTTTTACAGATGGATTGTGTGTGCATAAATGCTATCTTCTGTGTGCGCAAAATCACTTGTGTAAGTAATTTGCATGTACACAAGTAGAAGCCCTTTGAAGAACTGGCCCTAAGTATCTATTTCTATTCTACAGGACTAGTAGATCTCCCCAACAAAAAAACCCAGTTAAGTGAATCATGGGTCTCAAAAAGTGTTCCTAAGCATTATGATGAACTGTACACAGTATGACTTCTCGTGTAATATCTGAATACTGATGTGTCACATTGTTTAGTCAGAAACTGTGACTGTATAACTTAAAACAGATTTTTACCTTGCAAAATGAAATTGCAGAAACTCTAAGGAAGTTTATGGCATGTGTTATAGAGGAGCTCAGACTAGATGATCACAGTTGTCCCATTGGGCCTTAAAATCTACGAATAAGACATTTAGAAGGCTAATTCAACTGAGCTATTATTAGTCTGTGCTTAAAGAGGTTTAGCTCTCCAACATATCCCGTTCCAAGGTGCGTTTGTTCACCTTTTCATCATGGTTTATGAACAGTAGAATAATAAGAGAACTCTGTCATTCAGGTGACAGAATATTAATCTTTGTTTCCCATAAAATGTGTTTGCAGGCTCTCTTCTTATAACAGGGCCCTTCCCTTGCTAGAATAACAGCTAATTACAGAAAGGTAGTCTCACAGTGGATACCAAGCCACTGCCGTGAATAGGGTGTTCTATTAATTTATATTAAATGGAACATGAATCACACTTGATTTGATCCTACACGTACAGTTTGATGGAATTAATTTCAAGATTAACTCTCTTTGGGCAAATTCAAACTTAAAACAAATAAAAGCCTGTGGTTTTTTTTCTTTGAGATGAGATTAGCCTGATCCATGTAATGAATAGAAAAGAACATAGAGGACAATACAATTGTAATAAAATGAAAATACAATCTCTTCTTCATGACAAAGGTTGAGTTCTGTGAGGAGAATGAAATTCTAAAATAGAAGTTCATTAGGCAATAAAGCAAAGAGCTCTCTTGCCTCTATACAAATACGAACAGCATTAACAAAAGGATAGCAGGATTGTGAATTTATATCTATAATGAGAAATAACACTGAGGAAACAAAGATTTGCCTTAATCAGGAAACTATGTTATTAATACAGTATTGCTGATCCCTACCATGCAAAAAATCTTGATCCAGCCCACCATCATATAATATTTTAAAATAGTTGAGTTCGCCTGCCTTATGGTTTTAAGCCTTTCAGGTTCAAAATGTCAAGCTTTTCTCAACAACTGTGAGGGACAGAAACTTACTATTTAAATGAATGTTGACCATCCCACATAATCATATGACTCTATGTGCTGGGCCTTACGAAACTGATCAGCTATCATCAGAGTGGACAACACTTAATTCTACCCATGCCAAGATGAGAAAATTTTATTTTTCTCAAGCTCAAAAGAACTAAAGGCAGGCTGGCCAAGAACTGAATTCTAAGTGAAAGGAAAGGAGTACTTGTGGCACCTTAGAGACTAACCAATTTATTTGAGCATGAGCTTTCGTGAGCTACAGCTCACTTCATCGGATGCAAGTGAGCTGTAGCTCACGAAAGCTCATGCTCAAATAAATTGGTTAGTCTCTAAGGTGCCACAAGTACTCCTTTTCTTTTTGCGAATACAGACTAACTCGGCTGTTACTCTGAAACCTGTCATTAAGTGAAAGGAGTCATTTCTGTTTGCCTAAAGAGAAACGATGATTATAGGTGGGGCTCATTGCACCACCTATTATTAGAAGTTGGCCAACACATCCCACTGTATGACCCAGTTTTCAATTGCTTATAACTTTGCCATACTTTAACCAGTTGACCTGAAATTTTCCATGCCAGGTGTCTGCCTTAGGCGGATATACTTTTTTAATGTATTTAAGTCAAAATGGTTCAGTTATTTCTAGATAAAAAAAACATTTTGATCTGCCCACATTAAGAAAAAATTCTGGTGATTTTTTCTTTGAAAAGCTCCAGAGCCCCCCATGTTTTGAAGCAGGGATTTGAAATTTGGCAAGCGCATGGCCTGTGTGTCAGGGATGCACCTTTTGCCTTCTCCTTGAAAATCTGCATAAATCTGGACAAGTTATAAGCCTTTGAAAAACTCACTGTTTGCACATGCTCAGAGACTTGCAGACTTTTGCAGCTAAAAGGTCTAAAGATTCTGTCTGCATTGAGCATGCGCCAGACCAGGTTTGCACAGGATTTTCCTTGCAATTGCAGCTTTGGTCTATGGTGAGCTGTGCTGGTCCAGGGATAGGAACCGAAAGCAGGGAGCCTGTCTGTCCTTGTACTCTAATACAGTGGTTCTCAAAGCCGGTCCACCGCTTGTTCAGGGAAAGCCCCTGGCAGGCCGGGCCAGTTTGTTTACCTGCCGCGTCCGCAGGTTTGGCCGATTGCGGCTCCCACTGGCTGCGGTTCACCGCTCAAGCCAATGTGGGCTGCGGGAAGGGGCCAGTGGGAGCCGCAATCGGCCAAACCTGTGGACGCGGCAGGTAAACAAACTGGTCCGGCCTGCCAGGGGCTTTCCCTGAACAAGCAGCAGACTGGCTTTGAGAGCCACTGTTCTAATACACACCCTGCTGGCACTCAGACACATGGAAGAGAAAGCTTCCTGATACAAATGCAGAGAAGATAAGAGCCAGGCCAGGAGAGTGGGGAATAGATTCAAACGAGGAGCCGGGGGGGGAAATGGACTGGTGTCTGGGGAGGGGTGGCGGCGGCAGGGAGTCTGGGACTGACTGGGCAAGTAGACTGGTACTGGGAGCCAAGAAAGGGAAATGGGGCGGATCAAAAGCCAGTGGGTTAGGGGTGACTGAAATCAGATGAGGAGGCAGCAGAAGGAGGAGACTGGGAGCCAAGGGGACAGGGGACATGGGCCAGGAGGGAGAGGGGACTGGAGGCTAGTGGGATATGAGAAAGAGAGATCAGATGAGGGGTCAGGAGGGTGGGAACTGGGAATATGGACTGGGGACAAGAGGGAAACTTGGAATGGCTGGTCAAGGAGAATGGGATTTGGGTTGGGGAAGACTGGGATGAGAAACATGAAGAGTGGAGACTGGAACTGCCTAGATGAGCAGACTGGGACTGAGTTGAGGAGCTAGGACTGGGACAGGGCAGAAGTTCTCTAGTTTGGGGGCCAAGGGGAAGAGTCCGTGCCCATTAGAGCATACTCCCCTCTAGATCCTGGACTGGACCCCAAGATTCCTAAGTATCACCATTACTCTGTCAGCAAATATCTGTGAACCCACTGGCAAACTGTCCCATTTACTTCTAGTCCTGGTGCATAGAGAATGCAACCTATTGTTGCTACCAGTTACTCCATTAAAGTGGCAGAGGTAGGAAAGGTGGATCTGAAGATTACAACCCTGCTAATTACCCATGTGAGTATCAATATAATGCCATAAGATTCAATTTTTTCAATTTGCTTTAAAAAAAAAGCCTAGGAAGTGACACACATTAGATTAAAAGAACAGTATTAAAGCTGAAAAGTGGCAAGAACTCAAAAGTTAGGAAATACCAGAATTAAGGTTGCACATGTCACTTTAAAT